CGGGACTCTGGTCAACATGCTCGACGATTGGAAGCAGCCAGCATCTCCAATCCCTCGCCAACAAGCGTGCAGCAGCAGCTCTCGCAGCTGAAAGCGCCACTTCAAAAGGAGTACGGGCGAAGCGAGCGAGCGCATAGCCACGTCTGGGTCCTGATCCGCGCCACATCACCACCCTCGCGGCTGCATATATGTCGCGACGCTTTTCCTGTTTGGTGACCACGCTCTTCTTTACACTTCTCCGCCATATTCAACGGGACCGCTGTGCGAGCTCACTCAAATCTCCACGAGGCAGGGTTCGGCAACGACCACGCCCTATCGCCAACGCATGTCAAATGTCAAATGTCAAATCCGCAATCGCCTTTGTTCTGCTTCTGTCAAAAGACGAGGAGATCGATGGGGACTTGCTGTTTTCGGGGCTTTCATTTGCGCGGGTAGGTCCATCCTTGAGCACGCGTGGGAGCATGGCGCCCCGGCAGTGTCGACCATCTCAGAGCAAAATCGACCCAGGTTCTCGCTAGAAAGCCCGGAATTGCATACTCCCTTGGCGATCCCTTCTGTGAGTTGAGTGCTGTGGCGGCGGGGCGGAGACGAGTGGGTTCGCCGGTGTGCTCCAAAGCCACCGGTGCCAGACCAGTGGCATAGATTGGTCCTTCCACGCGGTTCATGTATGTCTTTAGTAGAAGAATCGACGCGCCGGGCGCTGCGCCGCGCCGCAATAGGACGACGCGTGTGAACAAGGCGATCCATCTCTGGCGCCGATGAGAGGCACTGCGGCACTGGCTCGCCCTCGCCCACATGAGATGAAAGAGAGACTGTGCGAAAAGTGGACTGGTGCCCGGCTGCCTGTGCCTGCTCGCATGAGAGAGACTGGTGGAATGGCTGCATTGCGAGAACTTGCACACTATCGCACAAAATCACTTCAGTCAGGCAAGGATGTGCTCCAAGCCGTGCATGGCCCAAAGTGTACATTCACAACTCTCAGATCATCATCAAGAGCTACCACTAGCTGCGCTCAAGCAGTCGCAGCGAGTCATCTAGCCCGCTCGCTCGCCCGCACGTGTGCCTGTCAGTCAACATCCTGCGCAGTGCCGTGACACATCACGTCGTGTCGATCCGGAAAAGAGTGAAAAAGAGAGACAGCAAACGCGAGCAAGCCGTGTAGCTGTTGTCCCATGCACTGTGTGACAGACAGCCCGACAAGGCTGTTGAAAGAGAGCAGGTAGAAGAAGGAAGACAAACAGCTGCGGGTATCTTCTGCGCCCATCATGAGCCGATGCTCGCACAGATGACGGTCACGCTGCTGGAGATGAAGGACGCCTCGATCATCTGCTACCATTGATGCTCGAAGTCGCCTCACGCGTCCCCCTTCCCCGCTGTGGTCACGCTCTCACCATCCTGGCGCAGGCTTCGTCTCCCAGCCTAGCAGGCACCGGCGTCGCTACCCCACACGTCTGGTGAAGACCGGACGACGGGGTGCAGAGGCGCGGAAGCTATACGTCGTGGATAGCGTACCAGTACGCGGAGGACGTCCGAACGTGATACAATGTCGGCATCCGCGACGGCATGCCCTATGGCTGCCTCGCTGACTGATGACGGCATGGCACTGTCACCGAATGTACCTCCAGGAGCCGCAGGTGTCAGTGCCAGCGCGAGCGCCAACGAGCATCCACTTCGCCCCATCTCGCCCATCTCGCCAGCTACCTCAATAGGAGGGGCACAACCAAGTGGATCACCAGCAAGAGCGCTGGGCGATTCTTCCTCAATGACAGACTATAGCATCCCACAACAACAAACAAGTGGTAGCTTCCCGCTCCAGACCAGTACCAGCAGTGGTGGTGGGAGTGGCATGGGGTCAGGACTTGGACTCGGCTCAGGGGCATCGTCAGGCTCAGGCTCCGCATCAGGAGCAGCCAGAGGGAGACCGCGAGGAGACTCATCCGCCACATCTATGTCCATCGGAAGCGGCAGTGGCAGTGCGACGACATCCCCTGTCCGAGGACCGCGGTCGCTACCCTTGAATCACCTTACATCCTTGATGGGTAGCAACAATGGCGGCGCGGTCGCTGCTGGGAGCGCACCGGGTGCTTCCGACGAAGAACGCAACAGCGGGTGTAGTCCGAGCTCTGCATCATCATCCCGTTCGTTCCCCTTCGCTGCAACTTCAGGTGTGGGACTAGGGAGCCCGCTGCTAGATCAGGCGGATACGGACAAGGCTGCAGCTGGGAATATGGAGCTGCGGACGAATGTGGCAGAGTCAGAAGTGCTCGTAGAGGTTGGGGACAGCTCATCAGCCGCACCGCTATCGGCTTTGTCAACTTCGTCCTCATACTCCTTCCCTGCGCCACTATCACCGCCGGCGATCCCCACCACACCTCCCTCTGCAGCGGATCTGCTCAGCGCGGATCAGAGCATCACACCAAACGCATCAACATGGCATTTGAGCCAGACGCTGCACTCTGCTGATGTGGGCACTACCCCGGATGACGCCGAGGTAAATATTGGCGTTGCGGCAGATGCAAACAGAGTAGGGAAGGGCGTCACCTCGCCCTTCCTCGGCGCGTTGATCCCCACGTTCTCTTTCGCCCAGCCTTCCTCCTCCTCGGACGCGTGGGTCTCTTCGTCTTCTGACACGACGACGGAGATGACGAGGCCAGCAGTGGGAACGGGAGCCTCAAGCGGCGGCTTGTCGGCGCAGCAGCAAAGCCTGGAGCACAGCTATTCACCCACCGGGTACGGCAGCGCTGCGGCATCGTCGCCCTCTGCGTCATCCGCTAGCAGCTCATCCCCGCTCTCGCCAACGTCACTGCCATCCTGTTACCAATCTGTGCACCACCACCACCAGCATCACCACGAACTGTATACGCCAAGCTCGCCGGGCGGGAGCTACTCGCTGTACGCGACGCCGCACGTAGCAGCGTCCTCGTCCGGCGCCGGCGGCCCGGATGGCGCGCCAACTGTCTCGCAGGTGCAAGCCGGCCGCGAGCACCGTGCCGGGTCAGGAGGCACTATTGAGCAACCGACATCGGCCGTCAGTGGCGGGGGCGCCAGCAGTGCTAGCAGCGGCAGCAGCAAGGATAGGCGATCGTCCGGCGCGGCGGGCACGTACTCGACCGTCTCTGGCTTCTTCAACAGTTTCAGACCCAGCAGCCCGCGCAGCATCGTCCCACCTGCTTCCTCATCATCTGTGCCAGTCGCATCGTCGACCTACGAGTTCGCCGGTGCCCCCTCGTTGTCTGCTTCCCTCGAGTTGTCGAGTGCTGGCGCGCGGGAGCGCGAGCAGCGAGAGCGAATGACGAGCGCTGACTTGCCCGTTGGGGCATCAGGAGGGCCAGGCAGTGTGAACGGAGGCGCTAGAGCATCTGCAGAGCCGAATTCGGCCACCAGCAGTGGCAGCGGGGGCGGGGCGGGAACCTCGCATCTGCGCAGGCAGTACGATCCCAATGCCAACCCAACGACTCCCGGTAAGTCTCCGCGGAGACCTGGCAACGTGTTCGATCATGTCGGTACCCTGTTCGGCAAGGGGAAGAAGGACAGGGAGAAGAATGGCAGTACCGGAAGCAACGGCAGCAGCGGCGGCGGCGGCGCGGCTCCCCGTGGTACGCAGATGACGAATCTGCAGCACCAACGCACCGGGAGCAGAAGTAGCGGCACCAGCCCTTCGGGTAGCCAGACCTCCGGGAGGAAGACCTCGACAGGCGGGTTCTTTGCGAGTAATGCGATGAAGAGGAACAGTAACGCGGTGGATGTGCTGGATGAGGATGCTTCAAATTCAGGAACGGATCTTGACGTGAGTCGCCCATCTTTTTTCGAACGTCAACAAACATATACGTTTTCGGGTTTGAGCTGACTGGTCCTTTCGTGCATGTGCATCGCTTTTCCGGCTCGCTCGCTTCCTTGCAGCGACCATCTTCGATCGCGTACTATGCCTCGCCGTCGCTGCTGTCTCAAAGCTCGTCCGGGACCATCTCAGCAGCTGCTTCGCCCCGAGGTAGTCTCGGTCTTGGCCTGCCACAGACCCTCAGCGAGTCAGCTGATTCCATGGCAAGCGAGCGAGAGGGAAACGTAGGTGACAGGGCAGTGAGACCTTCGACCTCGCCAACCGGCGAGAGAAGTTCGCTGGAGAAAATGGAGTACCTCAGCTCACCGGGCGAGTTACGACAGAGATTGAGCGGCTGTAGCTCATCCACTGGATCCAGGTCGAGCTTGGCTAACGCTGCCAAGCGAATCAGCGCGCTGGATCGAGTGCTGATCCAAGTCACCGAGGACAACGAACGCTTTTCCGTCGTTGACGTCTCGGGAATGTGGAGTGCAGAGGCGATCAAGGAGAAGATGATAACTAAGCTCCGTGAGTTTCTCGTGCCTCAATCAAAAGAGTTCGTCACTGCTGGCATGTTGACGAATGGTGATTGCTACTGCAGACTATGACCATGCTGATGTTTCGAACCTGAGGCTGTGCCGCACCGAGATTGGTCGGTCGAGCATTGTAGACGTCTCGATGGACGACGACTCTCTGCTGGCAATGTGCATGCAGGCAGGCGACGACAAGGGCACACTCAAGTTTCTCGTCCAAGCCAACGATGGTGCCAACAGACCCCGGAGCGGCAGCGACCATCAGTCTCAGTCACGCAGACACTCGCGAACTGAGAGCATGTCCTCGCGCGGATCATTCAACGAGCAGAACGATATGTTAGGCAAGGGTTCGACGCTACAGCGTTCCCGCGCTGCGAACGTGCGACGCATCGCCATCGGCAGCGGCAGCGATGAGCAGCGGTCAGCCCCTAGCTCTGCACGCTCCCCGCCCGGCAGTGCGACCAGCGGTGGTCCGTCCATGTCGGACATTACACGAACCGACTCGCCAATGTCCGAGAGGGACTCCAGCGCGACTCGCCAACGCCGTCCGTCGTCAAGTCAAAGAGACCCGCACTCGCAGACATCGTCCTGGCACGAAGGGTCGCAACTAACTCATGACCACAGTCTTCATCCTTCAATTTCTTCGCCGCCCTTCTCGCCACCCTCATTCGGCCGCCGCGCGGAATCGCATTCGGGTGGCATGCACCCGGTTGTGCACCGCGCACCGTCTCAGCCCTCCTTCGAAAGCGCGGTAGACGCGGAGAGCGACTTTGGACATCAGCGTGCGTGCACGGACGGAGTGCATCTACACCCGCAGCAAGGTTTCATGATGCACAATGCAAAGAGCATGGAGGACCTCAGAGGCAGTCCGCAGAACCTGCAGGCCGAACTCTATGGCCAGGGCTCAGAACGAGCAGGCGAACGGTATCCACCCGCATCTGCCTCTCGGCCAGCGGTGCCTCCGCAGCCACCCTCTCTCTTGCGGCAAGGGAGTGGCGATATGCCGATCCGAACTCCCCTCTTTACGCAAGACCCTCGCTACTTCCGGCATCCAGATTCGCTCCGGCCACATACGGCGCATACACCCGGACATCAATACGTCAACGGGCCAAGATACATGGAACGTTCTCCATCCTACAACACCGAACACATGCGAACACCTTCGTTTGGCAATACCCGGCCGGCGACGTCATTCTTTGACCCTCGCATGCAGTTCGCACCGCGTCCACCTATGCCAGCAACGATGGGCTCGCATCCACGGCAGCAAATGAGTGTCTCCCCGAACAACTTATCGTTCAATCAAGGGTGCCCGAACGAATTTGGAGCCCGTGCTCCGCCGTTCCCCAATCGTCCACACACGTATCATGACCAGTACAGGTATGCGCCCACCATTCGTCCGCCGCCACCCAAGCCTTCCCCACAAGGCCGAGAGGACCCGTTCACTGCGGCATACTTTCCCAACACGAGCACCAGGCAGGTCAGCGAGTTCCAGCGGAGTGCGACGCCCTTGGCGCCTGGTCGAACAATACAGGAAACTCTGGTCACCCGAGGGCCGCCTACGCCAGGCTTGCCTCCTGGAAGCCCTTACGCCCAACGGCCCATGCAACATGGAAGCCTTGACCAAGATACACATCCATCGCAGCAGCGCTATGCGCAGCAAGGGCCGTACGTGCATCCACAGCAGCCCCACCCTTTCCACCAGCAGCAGCAGCCACAACAACAACAACGCTATACGCAGCATGGCCAAGCGATGCCACAAGCAGGCATGCAACGCGCACATACCCAGCAACCGTCACACGATCAGCAGGCTGCCATGACGAGGGCACATACCCAACAGCAGCAAGAGCAACAGCAGTTCTCACATTCGCCTGTATTGCACGTAGGTGTGCCTCCGCATAGCTTACCTTCGGTGCCCATCCGGCCGGAGCGTGCGCCCGAGCGAGGACCGCCTCCTCGGCCACTGCCGGGTGCCCAACCCTCGCAAACTACTCTCCAGCGTGTCTCTGATACTCCCTCTGAGCCTCTCTCACATCCGACATCAATGGAGGACACGGCAAGCGCTCCCACCTCTGCCCGCAGTTCTAGCAGCGGTCCGCTCAGCGCTGACTTCTCGAGGGTTAGCGACGGCACCAAGAGGACCTCTTCTTCCACAATGTCTCCTTATTCGCCCATTTCTGGTGACATGGACGACTTGGATCTCATGAAGATCCGTCCCTTGCCGATGCCTCCGGGTGGTTTGGCGTCTTCGACAGAGGGGTCGTCATCCATGTCCAGGCTGGAATCGGCTGGCTCGTCTCGCATCGACAAGTGCGATGAGGAGAGTGACACTTTGAAGGCAGCACTCTGGGCATCCCTTGTTGAGTCGATGAAATCGGGACAACAAGGGCACACTTCGCCGTCAGGGAACTCGAAGGGCGACATTGGAGAGCGGACGGTCAACACAGTCACGTCCTTTCCATCGGACGGATCTACTGCCACTTTCAGCGCCAAAAAATCAGACGAGGACACCAATGGCGGCACGTTCGCCTCCTTCGCCTCTTTTGATGACGATGAGAATGAGACCTCAGGTACTTGGGCGCTTCCACTGAACCCTGACAAAGGCACATTAATCTCTATCGCCAACAATGCAGCTGGTTCGACATCTGAAGCCTCTGACCAGGGCGCCTCTTCGCATCGGCGTCCAGAACTGCGGGTCACAATCGATCCAAAGGGTCCTACCAAGGCTACCAAAACTGCTACTTCTGACCCACCAAGAACTGCATCTCCCTTGTCAATGTTGACTCCGGACGATCTGAACGTCTCTGAACTGTCAACCACAACGAGTATTCAGAGAAAGATATCTTTCGCACGGAGAGACAGCGACTGGGCCTTTAGGCCTCCACAGGAACAGCTTTACGAGTACATCGACGAATTCTTTCCGAAACACGACCTTGACAAGCCTGTCCTGGACAGCAGCACCGTGCCGGAAAGTCCCAGTGGCGAGCTGAGTCCGAAGGAGGAGGCTACGACGGAGTTGGTAATTGGGGCACTACCTCCTGCGCCTTTACCGAGAGCGACGCGGCACAAAAAGTCGATCAGAGTTGTCGCGCAAGACCGCAAGCGTCTACTGGAGAAGGTCGGAGACGTAGAAGCGGAGCCGCAGGTGAAGGAGCAAGCTCAGTCTCTAGCGCGGCGACGCAGCACTCGCCTGTGGGGTGGACAGGTGTTGGAGATGACGCCTGGTACCGAGACCACGGCCTTACAAAGCTCCTCTCAGACGGATAGGCCGCAGTTCAAATGGGTGAAAGGTGAATTGATTGGGAAGGGGACCTACGGAAGAGTCTATCTCGCTCTGAATGCTTCCACGGGAGAGATGCTGGCTGTAAAACAGGTCGAGCTGCCGAGGACTGCCAGTGATCGGGAGGACGCTCGTCAGAAGAGTGTCGTGCAGGCACTCAAGTCGGAGATCGAGACCCTGAAGGACATCGATCACCCGCACATTGTCGCCTACCTCGGCTTCGAGGAAACAACATCGTACCTCAGCATTTTCCTTGAGTATGTTCCCGGTGGATCGGTCGGCAGCTGCCTTCGCAAGCATGGTCAATTCGAGGAGGATACGATCAAGTCATTCCTGCATCAGATTCTCGAGGCTCTTGCCTATCTTCACGGCAAGGGAATCCTACATCGTGACCTCAAGGCGGACAATATATTGGTTGACTTCAACGGCATCTGCAAGATTTCTGATTTTGGCACAGTAAGGCGCAGCGATGACATTTATGGCAACGTCGAGAACATGTCGTTGCAAGGCAGCATCTTCTGGATGGCTCCAGAGGTGGTCAGTCTATCCAAGAAGGGCTACAGCGCCAAGGTCGATATTTGGAGCTTGGGTTGCGTGGTGCTCGAGATGTTCGCTGGGCGAAGGCCATGGTCGGACGAAGAAGCTGTGCAGGCCATGTTCAAAGTGAGTCAATCGCCGCGTGTGAGCATGCTCACGGCAGCAGCAAGCGCTGATGTTTGCCATATTTCTCTTTTTTCGCGCACAGATCGGCGCCCAGCGAAGGCCGCCCCCAATCCCACCCAATGTACGCCTGTCCAAGCTCGCTGCGCACTTCTTGCGCAACTGCTTCGAGATTGACCCGAATCTGCGGCCGACGGCGAGTCGTTTGCTCGAGCACAGATTCCCTTCGGCCTTGCCGGAAGGATGGACGTTTCAGCAGACAGCGCTGTATCGCGCCATTTCGAAGCCACCCCGGAGGACCCAAAAGTAGGCTTTCCCCAGGAGAGACTTGTCATTCGTTTCCGGCCCACCATAGAGGTCACATGACCCCACTTATGTTCGACCTTTGTGTTTTCGTGTGATATGTTTTAGCAGCAAAATAATGATACCCCATTGCTGCTTTGAAATAATGAAGAAGCTAGTGCCAGGCTCGAATACAATTTGTGCTGATGCAGAGCTTGATGCTGCATGGATCTGCTGTGGACCCATGCCCGGAGACGATGCGAGCTTTATTGCAACAATGGCGTGCGCTCCTGCACCAGCTGCACTTTGCGCAGCTGTTCTTCCTGCAAGCTGCTGAACATGCACAGTGGCACGACGGGCGACTGCTGTCCGCTCGCTATCGAGCCAACGTCGTCGTCCTCGTCGTAATGCTGACCCAACGATTGCCTCGATTGGCAAGCGCTTCTCCCCGCGACGTCATGGGAACCACCAATGCCAAGCTTGGACCTACTTCGGCTCCGGGCTAGCGACGAGAGGAGAGGCCCGCCGTGCACGTCGAGCAGGAGTGACTGCGTCATGCTCTGCCGCGGCGGTCCGTGCGCGGAACCGTGCCCATCGATCACGAAGCGCCGGTAGCGCACCACAGGCGAAGCGGGCGAGCCGAGCGAGCCGGAGCGGCTGCGACTTCGGCCAGCGCCTGCGAGGCCGGCGTGGCGGAACATAAGCGAGTCAGACCGTGCTCTACCGCCACTGCTGGTGTTGAGGGTCCTGGCGCTGCTGCGCAGATACGCGATGGGCTCAGGGCCATTACCGCGCCATGCAGCCCACTGTGCGACGATGATCAGGTCGAAGATGAGCGTACCGCCGCTGCCAAGGAGGAATGGCGTGCTCTCGGCGAGGTAAGCGCGCGCGCCGGGTCCGGACGAGCGCGGGTTGACAAGGATGCTGATCGTATACAGCAGGTTGCCCATAAACGCCGACAGGAAGAGTAGGATCGACAGACCCTCGACGGAGCGCCGGCTCAGGTTGACCCAGATCTGCGGCAGGCGTGAAGTCATGTAGAGCACCGTGCAGGTCCATGCGGAGATGCGGCCCAGCACACGCTCAAGCGATGGTGCTGGCGCAGATGGAGAGCCTGTGCCGCCGCCGCCTTCATCGTGACGATGGCAGGTTCCATTGCCCAGTGGCACCGTCGCGTCGGAGGTGGTCTGCGCCTGCAGGGTGGGGAAATAGAGCACCTGCGGATGACGCCACCGCGCCGCGTATCCATCCCACGCAGCATCAGGTGCTGCTGCTGCATGCGACGCGCTTGCGCTGCACGCTGCGCCACAGCCAGGGACGGGAGCGGAGACAGGCGGCTGCAGCATCGATCGCGCTCCACCAACAAAGCGTGCCGGAAAGTGCGACGCGCCACTTGCGGAAGGGCGAGCGTGCGCGTCACGCGCTGCTGCCCGCGGCGCCCTCCACCGCGTCGTCGAGGCGCCCGGCACTGGCGACCGATTGCCGCCAGAGGAGTAGGACGAGGCGCTAATGGAGAAGACGAGACCGCACGCGAGCAAGACCAGGCCAGAGCTACTGCGGCGCTGCAGCGTCTTGCACCCGGCGTGGTGAAGGTGAGCACCATTGCCTGCAATGCTGTTGCTACTGCGCACGGTGGCGCTGCAGCGCGGAGAGCGGCTGCGCGAGGCTGCTACTGCAATCTGCGCCGCGGTCCGCCCGTCGTGCATCTGGCCGGCGAGTATGGCCGTCATGCGGCGCTGGTGCGACGCAGATGCTGCAGCTGCGCGTTCGTCATGCTCCTCCTGCTCCAAGGACGCGGGGCGCGACGAGGACGCAAAAGAAGCGGCCGTGAGCGAGGTTGCGCGCGCCGGCGTGCCCATCGACGGCAATACCGGCGCCGGCGCAATGGGCGTCAGTGTGCCGCCGCTGTCCCCGCTCTCGGAGCCAGACGCGGACGCCGGCGCAGATTCCGCAGATTGAAACGCAGCAGCGATGTAGCTCTCCGCTGCGCGTGACATGTCGCGTCCTCTTCTGTGCTCGTGCTCTCGTTCCTGCCTCCGAGGCAACTTGCTTTGCTTTGCTGCTGCGCTTGCTTCTCGTGACGCCGCCGCCGCGAAATCTTGCGACGCGGACGAGGGCAGCAGGCTGTCGCTGCTATTCCGTTCGTCGTGTCCGGCGTGGGCGGCTGCGGTCCACGGCAAGGCCGCATGCGTAGCCGCACGAGGACGATGACGAGAACGGGCGCCGCCTGCAGGTGCGGGTGCGGTGCGCGCATCCTCATACCACGCAGGGTGAATCTCTGGCCGCCTCCCGCTCACGGTCGCGCTGCGAGTGGAAAATGTGTGATACCGCGGCCGCCTGTTGCCGCTGCCACTCCGCAGGATGCTCGCTGCAAGTGCTTCCACGTCGCGACGCCGGGACTGCGAACGCACGCGCACACTGTGTGGCGGCGGCCCCGTGTCTGCGCCTGTGCGCGCGCGTGCGCGGGAGGCGTAGTAGATGTACTGCGAGAGGATGCAGAGGTCGATGGCGCAAAAGTAGACGGCGATGGCGATTTGGAAGGGGAGCTGGTGCGTGAGGAGGGATCCGATGCTGCAGATGACGGAGAGGGAGACAGAGATAGGGATCAGTGCGGGAGGTGGGGATGCGTGCACACACATACACACCCACA